AATTAAAGCAGGTTTTGATTTCCAACCTCAATAAGTCATATATTCCTCATTTTTGAATAGGTTGCAAGGTACTGTTCGATAGAGCAAAGCAAGCTCTACAAGACGGCCTGATTTAGCAACAGCTCTGAGCCACCACGAGTTTCGAGCCAAAAACTAAAAAGATTCAACTGCCCGAAAAACTGAGAAAAATCGTAACTCAGTTCCTAAAAATCCTACAAAAATTCTAACTTGCTCACGTAAACACAACTCACATGAGGCATCTATATACCGTTGCCGCATTTTTATTCATGTCGTGTTCTACATGACGTGGATAACCTTATCAGAGATCGGGCATTTGTAGTAAAACTTTCTATCTTTAAATGTATTCTAGAACGCTATTTGCAAGCTTCTGTTGATCGGTGATGTTCGCTGTTGTTGCTTTATTTCAATTGTTGTTATTTTTGTTGTTTGTTCCTGTTCTCATAGGGACTTCCCTATGCACAATAAATAAATAAATCTATATACGCCGTTGCCGCATTTCGAACTTCTTTGCTCTATGTGCTTTGATTAAAATAATAATGTAAGTAATTTAAAACTATTACTTTGTAGAAAATATGCTCTGGATCTAAATAAAGCAGAAGTGATTAGGTAGAAATATATCAAAACAAAGGGTGGGGGGGAGAGAGAAATAGGTCACCGAAATTTCAAAGTGATTTACAAGCTCTTGGTGAATATTGAAATATTTTAAAAAGTTTCAAATTAGGTGGGACCAGTACGTTCGCCAGTTTTTCAAAAAAACAAAACTTCCTTTCGACTCGATGGATCTCTTTGGTTTATATTCATCTAAGAGAGAAAATCATTTTCTTTACAGCAGTTCTTTTGCCATGATTTGGCATAAAAAAGTTTGGAAGTTAGAAGCAACTGAAAAAAATCACTCAAAATTGGCATTTTTCAAGCAGAGTCACCAAAAATTCTGAAAGTATTTTTTGATAAAGAAAGCTATGCTCTTTACTATAGTGCCTTTTCCAAAAACAAAAAAGATTGGAATTAGAAGCAAATAAAGAGAATTACTTCATTTTTGCGTCGGAAGGGACGGGAAAGTCATGTGAACATGGGTTTAGTGGCCTTCTCTTTTTAATTGAGAAAAATTCGTGCCAATCGAGAGCAATTTTGATTTTCGTAATATTACCGAGCCTTCAGATAATTTTTTATGAAAATAAAATTGCTTTCGATTGGCACGAATTTCTGTCAGCTAGAAGGCAGTCACAAAACCCATTTATGAATAACCCGCCTTTTCTGTGACGTTTTTGGGCATTTTTGAGCATGCTTGAAAATTGCAAAACTGAAGTAATAGTTCTCTTTATTTCCTTCTAATTCTCAATCTTTTTTGTTTTTGGAAAAGGCACTATAGTAAAGAACATAATTTGTTCTATCGAAAAAAATTTTCTATCGAAAATTTTCAGAATTTTTCGGTGACCCTGCTTGAAAAATGCCAAACTTGAGTAATCTTCAATTGCTTCTAACTCGCGAACTTTCTTGAGCCAGTTTATGGCAGAGATACCTTTATGAAGAGAATGATTTTCTCTCTTAGACGGATAAAAAATCTAAGAGATCCATCGAGTCAAAAGGAAATTATGATTTTTTGAAGAAGTGACGAACGTACTTTTGGACCCACCTAATAGTTGTGGACAATTTTCGAATGAGCTGTGCTAAAAAGAATAGAGGTGGTACAAAAATTGTAACCGCAAAAGTTCAACCATTTTTTTGCTGGAAGCGGCCACACGCCCACGAACCCAAAAGTTTCAATCCCTCCCTCCCCCTCCCTTGAATAAATTTCTCGCGCCGCCACTGCTTTTCGTGTGTCTATCCTTTTCTACTCTCTGCTTTTGATTTTCAAATCTTTTTCCTCTCTCACAGTACCGCATACCACAAAATAATAATTTTTGATTCAAAGATAAAAAGTTCAAACCTTACGATTTGAAATAATAGCTCGAGAAATTCAAAATTAAAATTTTTAAGTAATAGTGTTGAATGATTGAATAAATCAGAAATAATGTGGTAGAAATAATGAAAAGAAAGGGATGGGACATAATGGGTCTCAAGAATATTCACGGTAGTCTGCGACTGTAGATAATGAAAGAGCAAAGCTCTTCTAACTCTAAAGTAATCTGTTTAGGCAATTTTCGAAGGTGTGGCTCACTCCACGCCCATTTTTGCTTTAAAAAAATCGAGGGCATACAAAAACTGGAACCACGAAAATTCAACCATTCCTAAATTTCCCTTTGTTCGGTGGCTCACGCCCATAAACCCAAATAATTTTTTGTTCCCCCCCCCCCTTGAAAGAGTTTTTTGCACCGCCACTGCTTCAATATATTTATCCTTCTCTGCTTCTCTGTTTTTGTTGTTTTAAATGCTTTTCTCTCCCCCAAACACTTCCTACATCTTCAATGGATCTGCACATGTTTACTTTCGAATTCACGTTTCCAATAGTACCTACCTGAAGTACCTTTTAATGGAAGCGAGCTCCAGAAATAGAAGCAGGAAAAGAAAATTACTCCATTCTCAAAATTTCTGCGTTTGGTCGCAAAACTGAAACTCGCAACGGAAATCGGAGCATTATAGGTTTTATAGTCTACTCTTTCTAACTGTGCCAAGTTTGCGCTGATAACCTGTTCATGAAAAGTTATGATTTTCGAAGCAAATGCCAAAAAAAAATCATGTTTACTCTTTTTTACGACTTCCTTAAAAATCGAGACTATTTAAGAGACGTTCAATCAGCACAATCTTTGTACACTCAAAAAGAGTAGGTAATACTAGATATGATACCGACTGCTCCGATTTTCTGCAAGCAGGATTGCGACCAAACATGGGAAATATTAAAATAGAGTAATTTTCTTCACCGACTTCTATCTTTGGAGCTACCAAAAAGTGCCTCAGGTACATTAGAAAGCATGTCTTTTTTCAAAATAAACATGTGCAGATCGGATGTGAAGGAAGAAAGTTTCGAATTTTTGAAAAGGATGGGGACGAGCTTTTGATTGATTAGTATTGTTTCCTAAGTATTAATTTATTAAAATTCAACAATAACTTATAATAACTTTCACTTAGACATACCTGCCTTAGAGTTTGACACATACCTGTTTTATGTGGAAAATGCTGGAATATTAGATTAAAACAAAAAGTTCTGTCGCTCCGATTTGAAAATTCCAAGAAAATTCGAGTCGAAGTAAAGCCTTGATTTTTGCACAAAACTCTTGAGTTTTCGAATCTGTTTCAGAGCTTCTCTTGTTGAAATTTCAAAATTTCCGAAAATTTCAAATGAATCGTCCAAATTTGCTCCGTATTTCTTGGCGAAGAAGTTGCAAGGTGGAACATTTGCGGCAAGGCACGATTTACATCACGAAATTTCAATTAATTTCATTACAGAAAGGAAGGGAGGCCGAAGCCGGCTTCAGTCGCGCGGATAAGGTCAGAATGCACCCGATAAGTGAAAACGGTTTATTTCCCCACAGGACCATCTTCCCTTTGAAGCGCATATCATCCTTTATGAATGAGATTGTTATTCTTGTTTTTATCTTACTCTTCCATTATTCTTTGCTCTTCCATCAGTATAACATTGCTTTTTAATTCTTCATATCTGCCGATTTTTTTCCAGACTTTTTCGGTCGGTTATGCATATATACTCGAATGCTTCTGTAATTTTATGTATATTTATTTATGAACACTTCATTGAACCTGTTAATTTGCAGTTCAACTTCGGCTAATTGTGATTCCATATAATACCCGCATAAAACATACACTATGCCATTTGCTTTCTCATTGAAACTATCTCGCTGTCTACGTCTCTTAGCATCTAGAATGTCTAGAGGAATTTCCACATCAAAGGAATAATGCCTTAGTAAAAAGCGAAAACCTAGTATTGGGAAGGAAAACCTAGTATCAAAAAGGAAGCTTGATATGGAAGAAACGGATCGCGTGAAAGCGCAAAGTGCTGCGAAAATCCTGCGAAAGCGCTGCGGAAACCCTGCACCCTGAGATTGCAGGGTTTCCGCAGCGCTTTCGCAGGATTTCCGCCGGGTCACCTGCGGAAACCCTGCGAAAGCGCTGCGGAAGTTCCGGCCAGTTGTCTGAGCCAATATCACGTTAGCCATGCAATCCCAAGCTGGATTTTAACACATTCGTTGAAACCCCAATGACCTCACATTTTCAACCGCTCTTAACTACTTCCAGAAAATGGCATCGCAGATATGGAAGGTAGATTTAGAATCAGCTCATAAAGATGCATCTAATGATATGCGGCTCATCCCAGTTGGCCACCTTAAATTGGGATCGTTCCCTTATTAGAAAAATGTTGGATATCCCTGCTTGAAGAAAACATCTTACAAACGATTCCAAACATGTTCTGAAAAGCTGCAGCTCTCGCACATGCCAATGCACGAAACAATCAGTGTCTCAGGTCTGCTTAAAAATTCTCGTGCTGCACAAGCAGGATTTCCCCTTACTAGACGATTTTGAATGGCGTTGAATTTCTCTGCTCGAAGAAAATATCTTGCAAGCGAATGTAGACATGTTCGAAACAGTAAAGCTGCAGCTTTTCTCGCACATGACACTGCATGAAAAATCAACCAGTGTCTCAGGAAATTTGCTCAAAAATTTTCGTGCTGCACAAGCGGGGTTTGTGCCCTTACCAGACGGCTGTCTAAGAAGAGCGTTTAATTTCTAGGCTTCTAGAAAGGCAAACTAGCCCACAAGAAGTAGAAAGAACACCAGAGCTTTGGCCAAGCTGCTCAAAAACATGATTTTCTTCTCCACAGCAGTGCAAAATAGCATGAATTAGCAAAAAAAGGTCCGATACCGTTGCAACGCACAAATATCAATAGACATTCCTGGACAAACTCAAAACCAATCAAACATCTGCAAAGCTGGCCAAGTAAATTTTTATCGAAAACAAAACAACAACTTCAAATCAACAATTCTATGTCTACAATTTGATTTACCTACAAGCGACGATTTCAACAATTGCTCTTTGCAGATCGGCGTTATATTTCCTCCTAAAAATGTACTTTTTCACCGAATGTTTTTATGATTTCGTTGCAGTACTTCCTCACCTTTATGCTCACCCCACTGCGCTTGTGTAGTGTAGCGTAGGCCAGCTTGATAATGTAGGGCATCTAGGAAAACCAAACCACATTTAGTAATATAAACTAAAATCTATAGAAAACTGATATATACAAAAGCTCGTATACGATAGATATTTTCTGCGTTCAAAACCATAATCGTCAATTTGCAGTAATCACTAATGGATGTTGTAATACTACGTTAGGATCATAGGATCATGGCAGAAAATGCATCATAAAAATGATAAACAAGGTCTTTCCAGATATCAATTCAATGGTTTTTAACATATTATGATACCCACAGCAGCATTTGTCGAAGGAGGAAGATAATCAATCAAATTCTTACCTTGTTAAGTGGGCTCATAACAGGAGTATGATTCAAAAGAGCAAGCGCTTCATTCGATTGCTCAATGGTTTTCATTTCTACGATTCCAGATGAAGATCTCTCACTACGACCCGTGAAAACAGTGACTGACTTGGGTTCTGGTGCATTTTTTTCCGCAAACAGCTGAATGAATGGAGCTACAAAATCAGTAGCATAGCATATTACAAGCACCTACTTGTCTGATCTTAGCTTCGTCCATATTCACAGGAGCGTTATACCAGTGAAGGATGTTTGTTGGAAAAATGAGACGGTTTCGTGCTGCAGCAGCGGGAGTCGAGAAACGTTGGAGTGCAGACATTGAAAAATCGCGGAATGATGGAGAGCCATCCGGCATATCAAAGGGGTTGCTGAAATGAAATAAATGACAGGTGATGACAACCCTCAACCCATCACGGAAATTTCATGATTGCCAACTATAAGTGTAACTTACGGATCGTCCCTGATACAGGTTTGTCTGCTCAATTCCAACTGTAAACTGAGCCCAAACAGCGAAGCTCCTTGTAGGAAGTGCAGAACGTCTGTCACCTGGAAAGGTCTCAGTTATGGATAACAATTACCCAGCTAGTAAGTAGTAATAATCTCGTACAGCCATTGATGTCCCTAGCTCAGCCATAGCCGTGTCCTTCTTAGCAGCCATAAATTTGATCTGAACACAAGAAATGGAATGAGAAGATGAACAAGTAAACAAACCAACCCTCAAAACATTGCCGTACTGGCAAAATAAGTTGAACAGCATTTGACAATTAATTTTCTCTCGTTCAATTCCATAGACCATGAGCACACATCCCTATAGCAAGCTCTAACGCTTATTGAAAGATAAGTCACTATGCTTGTATTATTTACCGGTCCTCCCGTGGGTGGAAAATGCTGGACATTTTCGTAGTCATCAAAAGCTCCACGAGAAGCTAGCGGTGGACGTCATGGATATGGTAGTTATGGCGGACCCCCCAGCTAGTTCTGGGGGGTCCGCCATAACTACCATATCCATGACCGCTCTAAAACAGATAATAGAAAAACGGCGCTACCACATTAGTTGACTAAAAATCAAAACCGCGGATTTCGCTAAAACTTCGTTTAGAGGGTTATTTTGCACGCTGATTATGAATATAGCATTTATTTCGCATGGTAGTGCCATATGGTGAGGTTCCGGTAGGATTATGGTAGAGGGCCACACGGTTTGCCGCAAACTTCTCTACGGGTTATTTGGCAGACTGAACATGAATATCAATGTATGAACTATTGGAAATGATCGCCCGCTTTCAAAACGGGAGATTGATGCATACCGCCCCAGATAACACCCTTGCACAAAGGTTCGAGAAGGCCTATCACTTTAGCCTACAGTAGACCTACTGTAATTCCGCGAAAAAAATTCCAAAACGCAGCAAAAGCCTGATATACGTGATCAGCGTGCCAAGTACCCCCACTACCCCCTCCCCCCCCCCCCCCCCAGACGGAGATTGGGGCAAACCCGTGGTTTTAGCCTCTACCGTAACACCACCGAATCACTGTGCAATAAGTGCGATATTCGTAATCAGTGTGCAAAATAACCCTATTAGATGAAGTTTTAGCGGAGTCCGCGGTTCTCTTTTTTGGTCCAACTAATGTGGAATAGCGCCGAAAAAACTATAGTAGCACTCAAAAAACTTACAACTGATCCTCCAGATGCATATGGCTTGTTGTAACCATTACGACTGCCGTAGTCTAGTCCATTTCCTGGACATGGAGATGGTCCTACTACTCAGAAGTGTTCAAGCTATGGCAATGTAGGTATTCGAAGCTTACCTCCGCCTGGAAGGAGAGTTTTGCGCTGCCGGTGTTCATAATTGTGACTGCTGCTATCTAGAAATGATTGTATTCAGCCTAAGCCAGACATTATCACTCCCATTATCTTTGCACTAGTAGCACACTAATCCAATATTATTCCCGATTGATGTAACTGCGAGACTATACACACAAACTTTGGCAGCATGCGACAGCGTTCAGGGACCCATCATAGTTTGCCGAAAAAGCCCAAAAGCATCAGAAAGAGCCGGAACGCCCCCCTTTTGCGCGCAAGTTTTGGCGCTAAGGCATGCATGCTGATTTCACAACCGAGTCATTCTGCTTCATCTTCCGTCGTCTGCACATTAAAATAATGTCAGAATTCTACCGAAGTTCCAAGGACGTTCCGGCTCTCTGGGCTTTTGAGCTTTTGGCTTTTTTGGGGCGCTTTTGGTTTTCTGGCCAAATATGACGAGGCTCTTTGTTTCGATAACGATGCTACGGTAGTAAAAAATTGTGAAAAGTTGTTTATCAAGGGCAATGATTACTCGAGGTAAGTGGAAGATGTCACACGAGCGGCTTTTGCCGTCGCTGGGTGTGTCGCGTGGAAATTGAATTAACATTAACAAGCTGACAAATTCCACACCCGTCCGCTATGCGGTGATACAACAACTCGAATCATCCTCAGGCGAAGTAAGCGCGAATTCAGATAAATGTGCCCAAAGACTTTGATAGCACGCGGCAGCGCTCAGTGTCGATTTATGACGCTATGGTAACAAAAATTGTGAAAAGATCTGCATTTTTAAGTACAATAGAATAATTACAGAGAAGATAGAATATTAGTAGAATAATTACAGTTAGATTCACATTCTATACAAGACAAGAAACTGTCCTAGAGAGTCAGTTGTAGCCCTCAATAACAAGAGAATTCGCTTTGTCCAAATGTAGATCAGACGGGAGATACAGTTAAATAAGACCCCAAACATATTCACAAGTCCTTGGTAAGTACGTACCGTAGGGCAAAGTAAAATCAAATTGGTCGTTGTCTTGACGTGTCACCTTGATATGGTCTGGCTGAAAATGGGAAGCATGATGCACGCAACAATAAACAAAAAATATGGAGTATTTACACGATGAGTGATGGCCGCACCTTCGCAAACTCGACTTTGAGCGTACAACATCCTGAATAGATATCGGCACCACTGATGGCATGCTTCACTTTTCTGGCGATCTCAGCATTTTCAAACTCTACCAATGCTTGCATCAGGGACTTTCGCACTATAGCAATTCTTAGGACTTTCCCATGAGGCTCACAAATTTGATGAATGACCTAAACAGAAACCATCCAGCACGTCTAAAATGCTCATCGCCGGGAAGCTTCACTCACGTGGACATCGATTGGATATTGAGCATTGTATACGGTTATAACCAACACCTTGCAGGGGCTTTCCGATTCGAAGCCATGTCGCTGAATATTTTGCGAAGTGGAGTAGTTGAATAATGCTGCATAGCCAGCAACAAAAATGAAGTTCGAAGACGCGAATGTGACGCAGGCTCTGGCAGCTGCAATGATGATAGATATATTCGTGAGTCTGGCACGGGGATGCTGCCTTTGTCAAGTTTAAAGAGTTAGCTATTCTCTTAACTTGATCCCTCTACCCTTAGTTTCTTTCCTTTTCTTTAACATAACAGTTCTGACTAGATTCTTTATCGTTATAACATAAATATAAATATGGGGAACATAATTGGGGAGGGGACCACCGAGCACCCGAGGAGTGCCAGCTCATCTGAAGTTGGTGGCACCGCCCAGTCGGCGAGGGGACTGTCGGACTCTAATTAGTCTGCGTCTCGACATGTCCGTTCCTGGTAAAGCTCGTCCTCGAGCTTTTGAGGTTGGCCATGGTTATTGAGTTGTCATCAGTGGCTTCGCTGGGGAGTTGCCCATATGCATGGTTGCGATGTCATCATTGAGTTGGACGTTGCCCATATGTACAGTTGACGTTGCCCATACGTGTAGTTGATGTTGCCCATTTACCATTTGCTGGCTTTGGTTGAGGGCAGACTTGCTTCAGGCGTTAGTCGCTGGACTTTTCTTCACAAGGACAGGGGGAAAAGGGATGAGAAGGCACGCTTTCGCACGCCCTGTCAGAAGAATGAGCTCGTCTTGAGCTGAAGAGTGGGAGCAACATGGACGAATGATGAGATGATTCTAATGATGAGCAAATCGGGGTACGGATGAGGCTTCCGTAATCCTTTGGGGAGGTGGATAGGGATTTCCGCATGGTGGTAAAATGGGCAGAGGGTATTATTCCATGCCAGTAATCTCGTTTTCTACAACAATGCTCACTATTTTCTTCGCGGATGTCATCATATACCCGTATGTCACATTTCATCACCAGTGCGGCCTTTGTCCGCCTCCCTATACCCTCTGTCCTTAGTTTCTTTCCTTTTCTTTAACATAACAGTTCTGACTAGATTCTTTATCGTTATAACATAAATATAAATATGGGGGAACATAATTGGGGAGGGGACCACGGAGCACCCGGGGAGTGCCAGCTCATCTGAAGTTGGTGGCACCGCCCAGTCGGCGAGGGGACTGTCGGACTCTAATTAGTCTGCGTCTCGACACCTTTGAAAATGTTTAAAATATATCTTAACGATACAACGAAATACGAAGAACCGAATTCAGAGATGAAAAAATAGCACAATCTCATACCTTCGATGTCTTCGAATTCAACCAGGGCCATCTTCTGAGCTGGTATGATTGCCACATAAGCAATCAAACCAAATGTTTCAAGAGCTTCTATAAGATCTGCTTCTGTTGCCTATAAACAAGACTATTAACGACTGATCAACAAAAAAAAATGAGTAGATCGCGCTACTATAACCGCTGAGACAAGGGACGATTCCCATCCCAGGGCTTTCAAACTTCCTAGCCCTGTCAAACTTCACACGGAGCTTTTGTACGCCCAAAGTCGTACAAGAGCGCTCGAATTTCCAATTTTTTTAAAAACTTTTCATGTGCGAAAATGTGCTTCTCAAACATGAGAAGTGCTCACATGCTCCGGTCAAGCGTGCTGGCGCTTTGGGCTAGCGCGGAACGTGTCCGATTAGAGATGAGAATCTTGAAAGAAAGAAGTTTGAGCGCTTTTGGTCGCTAAGAGCGAATCTGCCCCATCATTAGGAGACTGTGAACTTGCACTAAAAGACCAAAGAGTAAAAAAAACGCAAATGTTTGGTAACCGGGGATGCGTAGCAAGTAGTACCCGGGCAGCCGGTTGCTGGCGCAGACAGCCGCCGGTGCTGTCGCTAAAGCCGCTGCACAGGGTACAGTGATTACGCCGTCATTTAGAACTTTTGCCGAGAGGTTTTCTGCACCTCGCCGTGCTGAGGTGCGATATTAGTCTCAGGAATAGCGCGATACTCGATATCTATATCAATTTGAACAGCTTTCTGTTCTTGAAATTCTTGGGAATCAAACCAACAAAGCTATAAAGTAGAGTTTCTCTGAAATAAATGGCCACAAAATCAAATTCGAACAAGAACTTCAAGCTCAGACTTACGTCAAAAATCAGAAGTTCTCCAGGTAATTTGAAAAAAATTGATGATAACAAAATGCAGACGTTCTGAAAGCGTTACGGAAAAGTTGGTAAAATGTGTTAATATAGAATAGACAGTCACTGAATATTGATATCTTTAACTGGCAAAAAGACAGTTTGCTCTCCTGTTTATTCATTTTGTAGTTGTTTGTGAATTAAAAAAAAGCGCTTGTATAGTTTCCTATTTGATTGCATGGTTCTCAATAAACAATGAAATTCCTGCCATTCAAAAAGATACGCAGGGCTTATCAAGAAGTGTCGCTTGCCGCAGCATCTCCACTCCCGCGCTGGACTCCGCGTCTCTTCCGCGGAACATGCTCTCTGAATACATTCCCAGGGCGAGCGTGAAAAAGGCGGAGCCTCGATTAGAAGTGATTAAGGAGCATCTTCCGCGGAAGACAGGCAGAGTCCAGCGCGGGAGTGGAGATGCTAGGGCAAGCGACACTTTATTTGATAAGTTCTGTAGATATCGAGGATACATGCCATCCCCGAGGCTGGTATCGCACTTCGCTTCTCGCCGCAATTTAGGCGACGAGCGTAATTCCGCAAAGTCGCTTGCACGAAATCGCCCGGGTTGTTGTAGACTGAACGCACGCTAGCGTGCCTGCAACGCGGCGCCGAGTACGGGCGCTATGATGACTCATGCGCGCGAATGCCAATGTTAGCCCGCAAGAGACACGCGTGCGGGTGCTCATTTCGGGCGATTCCGTGCAGTCAACTATATCATCTGCAGCGCCTTTGCTGGTAGCATCGACGGCTGGCTGCGGCAGCAGTCGGCTGGCCGAGTGCCACTTGCACGCCCCTCAGTAGCCGGTGACTCCCAGTCATTGGGAAAGCTTGCACCCATCCAGCAACCTCTTCGACAATAGCAAGATGGATCATGCTTTATTTCCCAAAGTGTATTCATACATTTGCTTGATCTTACACACTATGCACTGAAATACCCGAAACAGTCTCGGATAACGAACTATCAAATTTATTCGATACTCAAGCATCTCGAACAACCAAATAATATATTCGGAAAAGGTCTTGTGAAATAAAGCTTGATTTCAAGAACAAAAAGCTGAAGAGCATGACTTCGTAAGAATGACTCACTCTTGGGTTCAAGTTTCGAACATGGACTACCAGAGATGGTTCTGGATTGGTAGGATCAGCGAGCATCATCTCGTTTGAACCTTTTCAATGACGGGACGCTGAAACGACTATCACGAACTACAGCAGTCGAGAATACAATTACACCTGACGAGGAAAAGTCGTAAACCATCTACAGGGCTTTTCAACATAAGAGTCACAGCCTCCGCTTGCGCAGCTCCTCCAACGCGGCCGCCTCGCTCAGGCCGCGCGCGGCGTTTGCGGCGCATCGCCCGGGCATTTTGCCAAGCTTCAGTCGACGCGCAGCCTGGTGCATGCGTCGGCGGCAATTTCGTCGTCGATTGAGAACTGGCAAAATGCCCGGACGATGCGCCACGAACGCTGCGCGGACCTAAGCGTGGCGGCCGAGCGGGGCGGCTGTGATACTCAGGTTGTAAAGCCCTGTACCTTTGACAAACCATTATGTGCTAAAGGTCGGACATGTCCAAAAACTACAGTATACTCTTCCCCGCAGGACACACAGCCGCAGCTGGCAGCTAGCCAGCGCGGCTGGTTCGAATTATTTGGCGGCGTCCTCCGCTTACGAGTGTTATTCACGGTCTATTTCAACTTTTTCTTTGTTCTTATCGGCTTTGGGATGTTTCTAATCTCGCCTAACGTGTATTCAAGTGGATCTGCACTTTCAGGGCACCTCGTCTAACCACTATGTGCGTGGTGAACTCAGATGAGGAAACTTCCAGTGCGCCTCTTACCCGTGTTGCGAGCCCTTTTAGCTTATGAGGAGCGTATGGAAGAGAAACGGAACGAAATCACCGCAAAGCGAGTATTCCAGTCCAGTTCTAGTGGACTATCGACGTCATCTGCTAAATCGAGCACTCCTTCATCTGTAGAAAGGCTAAAAACTAGCATAAGACGTGATCTTAATTAAATAAAGAGCACTGTGAGTTAAAGAGACTGCTTCATTATCTTATACATAAAGCTGAATGTCTGTCTGTCTGTATGTATGTCTGTATGTCTGTACGTATGTGCGGAATAGAAATTTTTATTTCTGAACCGATTTGGACCAAACTTGGCACACATATACTTCGGGGCAGGGAGCGTGTCATAGGCTACTTTTCGTTATCGATCGATATCGATTTTATCGATTCTTTGCAAAATTTGAGCTACGGGGCTGGAAGTTGGCACAGGGGATAATCGAGCATGCTGATTACAAATATATTATTGACAGGCCCGGGCGGAGCCGGGTATGTCAACTAGTTCACCATAAAAGTCTCTTTTTTACAATTGGTTCAGTCTGAGCCGGACTGTTCCTAAAAAATCATCGCTTTCACTCGGCATCATGCGAAAGAATATAAAATGTGAGGTGGATGAGCTTGGAAAGGAGATACATGCAGTTGTTAGCGCGTAGGTCAAGGATGGGAAGGAACTGAATGGCACAGCTGCTGCATCTGGACTAGTGGCTGATTACGAATCGTCTGGATCGGATTGAGTAGATATTTTATTGTAAACATATGTTGTTATGTTATGTTTCATGCTTGATTGTACATAATATGTTTTATTGTACATAAAAATAACAATGAATTGAATGACAAACAAAACTCAGTAACAATAACAACAATAACAAAGCAAAGCTCTTGAATTCTGGAGGCTCGCAAATTGAGTGCTTTCATTGTATGTGAAACGCTATCACGTTGGTGGGTCTAATTGGAGTCGTGCGTCTGACAAGCAGACATCAATACGCGAATGTGCCCTTGTGCATAAAACATCCATCTAGCTGTCAGGACTTCGGATCAACTACGCTCGTCGCTTCGAAAACAATGAGTTTGACTCCAGCAGTTCACGAGTGGAAGTGTATTCCAGCTTTGTTGAAAGCAAGAAGAAGAGCTAAAAATTGTTTAATGCTCATTTTTCGTGCTCTCTTGTCAGCAAAACCGGATTCCGTTGTGTTTTCTATCATCTTCTTCATGTCGAGATCTTTTGAAACTGGCTGAAAACAAGAGTTAGTAGCCAGATATTTTATGTGCTCTCCTCAGCAATGAGGGAACAGAGCAGACCTGAAAATGAATGAATTTGCTTTCAGGAGAAGGGGGCATGTTTTCGAAAGACTTATGCCTGTCTTGCAAAGTAGAAAGAACGCCAAGGCTTTGGAGTAACACATAATCCAAAATTATTCCCGATTGATGTAGCTGCGAAACTATGCACAGAAACTTTGGCAGCATGCGACAGCACTCAAGGACCCGTCATAATTTGCCGAAAAAGCCCAAAAGCATCAGAAAGAGCAGGAACGCCCCCCTTTGCGCGCAAGTTTTGGCGCTAAGGCATGCATGCTGAATTCGCAACCAAGTCATTTTGCTTCATCTTCCGCCGTTTGCACATCAAAATAATGTCAGAATTCTACCGCAGTTCCAAGGACGTTCCGGCTTTCTGGGCTTTTAAGCTTTTGGCTTTTTTGGGGCGCTTTTGGGGTTTTCTGGCCAAATATAACGGGGCTATTTGCGTCGATAACGATGCTACGGTAGTAAAAAAAATTGTGAAAAGTTGTTCATCAAGGGCAGTGATTACTCGAGGTAAGTGTAGGACGATTCGCACGACCGGCTTTTGCCCTCGCAGGGTGTATAGCGTGGAAATTGAATTAACATTAACAGTCAATAAATTCCACACCCGTCCGCTATGCAGTGATACAACAACTAGAATCATCCCCAAGCAAAGTAAGCGCGAATTCAGAAAAATGTGCACAGGGACTTTGATAGCAAAAGATCTGCATTTTCAAGTACAATGAATAATTACAGTTAGATTCACATCCTATACAAGACAAGACACTGTCCTAGACAGTCTGTTGTAGCCCTCAATAACGAGAGAATTCGCTTTGTCCAAATGCAGATCAGACAGGAGATACAGTGAAATAAGACCCCAAACATAATCACAAGTCCTTGGTAAGTACGTACCGTAGGGCAAAGTAAAATCAAATTGGTCGTTGTCTTGGCGTGTCACCTTGACATGGTCTGGCTGAAAATGGGAAGCACGATGCACGCAACAATAAACAAAAAATATGGAGTACACAATGACTGAGAGCCGCACCTTCGCAAACTCGACTTTGAGCGTACAGCATCCAGAATAGATATCGGCACCATTGATGGCATGCTTCACTTTTTTGGCGATTTCAGCACATTCAAACTCTACCAGTGCTTGCATCAGGGATTGTGCGAAGGATGATGATGATCATCATCATCATCCTTCGCACAATAGCAATTCTAAGGACTTTATCATGAGGTCCACAAATTTGATGAATCACCTAAATAGAAACCAGCAAACATGCCCAAAATGCTATTGGCGGAGAGGTTTTACTCACATGGACATCGATCGGATATTGAGCATTATATACAGTCATAACCAACACCTTGCAGGGTTTTGCCGACTCGAAGCCAAGTCGCTGAAAAAATTGCGGAGTATTTGTGAGATTTGAAGACGCGAATATGACGCAGGCTCTGGCAGCTGCAATCAAGATTGATATATTCATGTACCTGACACAGCTCCGCTGGTTGTGAGGAATGTATGAAAGGATCTTGCACTGATACAACGGAAGGTTTCAAAAATACGCGTTTCCGCAGTTGTTTGGACCTCTCGCTTGGGTCTCGCCTATTTCGAGTTTCAGATCTGCTGTGATTACGAAGCAAGATTAATGATAGTAGGATCAATCCAAACTTCCATCTTCTAGATCCAAAAACTTAGTCAAGATAATCCATCAAGGACTTCAAAATTCAGCAATGAGAGGAAAAAAGATGAGGGCGGAGATCGCATATCGTCGATTCGTTGACTGTAACTGAACATAACCGCGGAGCACGCGCCGCGAGGTAAAACGCTTGCTCCAATACAAACTCGCCATTGTTAAAATCGTGCTCTTGCAACATTTTAACCGCGCCGCGCGTGGTCCGCAACGGTTGAGCAGTCCGTACGGCCAACGAATCGACGATACCTTCGATGTCCTCGAATTCAACCAAAGCCATCTTGTGAGCTGGTGTGATTGCCACATAAGGAATCAAACCAAATGTTTCAAGAGCTAAGATCTATGAGATCCGCTTTTTGCCTATGAACAGGACTGTAACGACTGCTCAACAAGAAAAAAATGAGTACGTCGGGCTGCAAAAACCGCTAAGCCAAGGGACGAATCCCATCTCAAGGCTTTCAAACTTCCTAGCTCTGTCAAACTTCACATGCCCAAAGTCGTACAAGAGCGCTCGAATTTCCAATTTTTTTAAAACAAATCTCATGTGCGAAAAGTGTGCTTCTCAAACATGAGAAGTGCTCACACGCTCCGGTCAAGCGTGCTGGCGCTTTGGGCTAACGCGGAACGGGTGTATGTCAAGAGGCGCGATTTTTATTGCCAGATGGACACCAGATGGTACATAATAAGGGTTTTGTAACATTCTCAAAGTGATTCAAAGCAAGGAGATATATAAGGTAGCTGCATGAGTTGCATAATCTTGCTGTCTTGAAATCAATTCAAAACAATAATTTTGAAAACCAAAAACCCAAGAAAATTCAATTGCGACAATTTGTAATTAATTCGGTTCATTTTCCAGAGCCACCAAACTCAGCAAGTTGTGACCTCAGACAGATGAAGCCAATGCACTTATCTGTCTTTTTGAAGACTCGCATAACACTAAACTAGAGTTTTAAGTTGGCGACAGCCGGAGGAATCGCGCTTCTTGACCGTCTCCCACACGGGAACGTGTCCGATTAGAGGTGAGAATCTTGGAAGAAAAGAAGTTTGAGCGCTTCTGGTCGCTTTTGAGCGAAATTTGCGAAAAAAATTTTTCAAAAATTTGCGAAAGAGCTATAAAATGCCTTAGAAATTCAATGCCATTTCTTTCAGCGAGGTTCAGAATTAGACTTTCATATGGAAAGGATAAAAACATGATGGCGGCGCAAAGACTAATGAAAAATTAGTAAATGAAAGCAGAAAAATCCATGATCTTGCAAATGGTGCCAACACAAAGGGTGAGAATGAAGAAGAAAACTCGAAAAGACCAGTGAAAGGATTGGTGTCATGAATTATATGTGTTTTGAGCTCTTACCTTCAAAAAACAACGTTATTCGCTCTAACGATCGGTCCGCTATTGCTAAGGAGATAACATCAGTCAAGGAAACGGTGCAGACGCAACATCGACACCGAACGAAACGGTTTGACTTAGAAGCACATTCAAAAGCCTATTTAGTAGTTATGTATTCAGCAAAAATATACAAAAACAAAAGCAGTGACCGTAGATCATTGCAAATCACGTATTTCACAAAAGTGTAGGCATCCTGCAAAACCAACCAAGTAGTTTCAGTTTAGTCGATATACTTTTTGAACACATAGGGCTTTTCTGCAGATACCATAAGCATAATGATGAACAATCAAAGCATGTTCTCAAATGTCCAACACAGTTGAAGGCAGGAGAAAAGAAGCATTGTGCAATGCAAAAACCGGGGAATGAATCTTCAAAAAAGAAAAAAAGAAGCTATCAAATTCAATACGGCATCCATAATTTCAGAGATGAACAAAAGACCAAAAAAGAACCCGCAAAAATAGAAATTAAGTCAATGCAAGCACCGCTTTAAGGCTTCTTCACCACTTTCTTAATCAGCAACATGCGTTGTTTATGCGCCACAGTGGGCTGAGGAGTGATACGGTCTGGGCGTATTGGCGCCGGAGCGCCGAATACATAGACAGAAGCACGCGGAGCTGACGGCATCTTGTACACCATATCGAGTACGAATTCCACGTCTCTAGCCTCGATTCGATGATTACCGCGATGTTTGACCAGCTTGCAGACATGACTTACGAGCTCGTTCACAAATTCGTCGGTGTAGTCACAGAGCATATCCTAAAAACAGGGAAGTTGTCCGAAGGCCTTCTATGGTGATCAACCGTTATAAACTGTGATTTAATGACAGCAACCGAAGTTTTAAGCGAATAAAACTGCTACAACATGTTCTTTCGTTCGGACCTCAATAATGGAAGGTCTTACTAGGCGAGACTAAAAGAGGTGGTCTTATAGAAAACAAATGTGAAGATGATGTTTCCGTTAACTTGTTAATTAATCGACACGATCAAGGTAGCAAGGTACCATTACACGGAGTTCAAAGATCCCGGACAGTACAAATGAACGTTTAAAAATGTTTAGTGTAGTGATTTACTAGTTCTGACACAAAGATGTATGGATGTTATATGAGATTGACAAAGGAAAGATATTCGATGACAGTGGACTTGCAAGATGCGATATATATTGCTGGACGAATCTAAACGCTGATTCTGAATGTGCCTTCGACACCTGCTGTGTAGTCTTCAAAAAAACTGATGGGCTTTTTTTTCTAAACTGAACTTTGAAATCTTAAAAAAGCAGAAAACACGCATATTGGTAGGATAGTCAATCACGCGCTACAAAACACAAAAAGATTGCACAATGAGCGCAGATCAGATAATTGTCTCAGGCACCCCCGCGTTCAAGGAAAGCTCGTACACAGACAATTTTTATTGACCACGATTGAATTGATTGTGTAATCATGCCAAAAAAAGTCCTTAACATGTTCACAGAGTTGCGCAACACATGTTGAGCATAGATTTGGAATCAACGTTTCAAAGCTACTGGTATACACAGTGGCGTACCCAGGATTTCGGCTCGGGGGGGGGCGACAAAAAAATTTTTCTAAAGAAGGTGCGTGGCGTCAGCCACGCACTCCGAAAATTTTTTTGGTATGCTTTTTAAATTTTCGCGGGCTCTAACCCCGAAGTACATTATTGCACTTATCGGAATGCCTTCATGCGAACTAAGCAGAAAAAACTTGGAAACCGAGAAAACGCACGCCCGAGAGAAAATAACACGTTAAAATCATAACCGCAAAGCTATGAATGGACGAAAAACCTAACAAGACAAGAAAGCAAAATCGAAAACATACCTTTACAACATCGTCTAACACTGTATTAGCACTAGTTTGTCTGGCCAGTTCATCAATGCGCGTCCTATCCATGATCGAGCCATTAGAACTGGGTGGAGCTAGCATCGGCTGTACATTAGTTCCAGGAGGTGGAAGTTGGCCACCAGGAAGTAGCGCAAGCTGGGCACGAGTCTGTTGCGGTTGTGGAGGTGGCGGCCGCGGGCCCATGATAGGGGATGAAGAGACATGAATTTGCTGTGGTGGTGGTGGTCCTGTATGCACAATCTGCATGGTTGGCTGAGGCGCACTACTCACTCGCATCATCTGAGCCGGCTGTCCCATCACTGGACGTTGAGCAATTTGATGGACAATGCGCTGCTGCGACACACCGTTCGACGACGGCTGATACACCTGCACCGTTCGCATCTGCGGGGGTGCCGGCTGTCCTCCTGCCCCTTGCGGGTACGGAACTATCGGGGCACGGCCTTGCTGTTGGAGCTGAACTCGGATGGGCCCAGCGCCGGGTTGCACTTGCTGTTGTTGTTGTGGTCCTCCTCCACCCCGCGAACTTAGAGCCGCGATAAGATGCGATGGTCCGCCTGGCTGGTTCGGCTGTTGCATTTGCTGCCCATCAGACATGGCTCTGAAATACTGACAATTACTAATATTTCAAATCTGATTGCGAATGAAGTGAAGAAAGGCCTCAGATGTACTTTTCTAACTACATAACAAGAAAAGAGCTATAGCTGCATCAGTAGGATAGAATCGGAGCAGTTCCTTGTCAAGCCATACAAAGAGCATGACGAAACAATGTGATGACGTACTGGCTTATTGCACTTTGGGTAGGTGCCAGAGTAAGCGAATATTTTGTTCAGGTTGGGGTCCCGCGCAGAATTGGTCAACTTGGATTGAAGCCAGCATGGTGCGTGACGTCCATGTGCGCGGGACCCCAACCTTAACAAAATATTCGCTTACTCTGGCACCTACCTTGCACAAAAAAGCACGAATAACAAGCGAGAATGAAAACATCAAACTAGCTCGTCTTGTCAAGTGTCGTATTCAGCTTCCAAATCAAAAAATTGATACGGCAAAGATCGTCCAAAAGCAGTGAAAGATCATAGCGATTTCGAAGATTTGTTTTCAACTTGAAACATTAGCCACAAACCATACTGTCAATTATTGATGGAGTTGTCTGTGCATATGAGGAGGGCGCTGATCACGAAAACCTCCAAAGGTTTGAGCTACTGTTTGTGCGCTACACCATGCCATCCAAAGTTTAGAAAGAATGGCAGAGAAACGCGTACAGCCATAAGAAACTGTACTGTACGCTTCGGTGAGTCAGCTGACACATACCCTCGATATCAACCCATATGTCTTGCCTCAACATGACGTGGATTACGTGGCTTGATGAGGCGCCGCCTCGCCTCGGGCTCGCGCCACGTTGCGAGCGCATCATTTGGCGCGACGTGGCGCTCAACACAGCGTGGCGCAGGCTTTTCCACGTTCTTCTTGTTGCCACATCACGGCGAAGATGCGCACGCAACGTGGCGCAAGGCCGAGGCGAGGGGGCGCCTCATCACTCCTCGTAATCCACGTCATGTGGAGGGAAGACATATGGGATGATATCGAGGGTAGGTTCAACTTCCATTGTGTGGCCACACTACTAAGGGTTCCTTCATACTACACCGCAGGACGCGGCGTGCTGCCGCGTGCTACGGTGTAGTAATATGAAGGAAGCCTCACAAGGAAAGGATACTTGGTGACCGTGCGTGGCCATTCGGAATGCGATGTACACCGTAAGATGCACCTCGGAACGCTGATTCTAAATATGTGCTCGATATCTGCGAAACAATCTTTTGAATGGAGTCATGAACTGTTTTCCGTAGAAAATTTGCGTACTTTTGGGTAGTTTAAGTCACCAAATTTGTTCAAGGTTACCGCTTGAAGTTATTGAAGAGAATCTTAAAAGAGTAAACTGCTGTAATATAACTATTCAAGTCATATTCAGCATTTGAAATGGAAAATAATATTTTATAGATGATTTTGACTCTTCGTAGTAGCGCAATTTATCCATAAAAAATCATAACTCCATCCAGGTTATCTTTTTGCAGATATGGAAGATAGCATTCGAACCAGCATGGCGAATTTTTTGATATACAAATTATAACGGATGGTCATGGTCACCAAGTATCGCTCCCTTGTAAGAGCAGAACTAACTTATCAAAGAAAGCACCATACTTGCTCATAATCTGGGACAAAAGGGACCAACGACGCGCACGACTGAAAAGCTGATATATACTGGTGTTGGCGCTCGCGACCAAAGCGAAACGACCGCATGCGAGATGACCAGGGGCGAGTATAACAAACTCGTCCACAAGAAACAGTGCACCCACGTGAACTATCTTTCTTCTTATTAGAACACTACTATTGGATATTACGTTAACAAGAAATCGTCAGAAGTGCAAGTGGCCCTCATAGAAGAGTTGTATGCCATTCGATGCAGCACTAACTTTAAAACTACCTTTTCTACCTCTTAGGCGACTCTGTTGAGGAAGGCACAGAAAATGTGTGTCATGCAAATTTCAATGTAAGGATACACATGGTAGGCAGAAGCTTACAGCTCCTGTTATAGATTAAGTACTCTTCAGACCGAAGAGTGATCCCACAGTGTATCCACATCCAACATCTTAAGATTTGTCCTTCGCAACACAACTTCCTTGCAACATCACTCATAATTTTGTTTACAGTGCGCTTGATAGATAGTTTCGGAACCAGCGTTTTGTTCTGCATCGAGTGATATGCACAGGGTCAAGCGTGGGGTGCGGCACGCCACACCTAGGGGGTCGTATTTAGGAGTCAAAAGGGGAGGGGGTCGTAGTTGGGTAATCTGATGATAGCGATAACATGATATTCGTATCATATCCATAATTAGCATGTCAATTATCCTAATTTCACGCGTACAAGGCGCGAGGTGGTCCTAGCTTTCATCGACCAGCCCGAACAGGGCAAAGGACTTCGCAACCAAAGGAACCCCATACCGTGCTGCGTTTTGCCTGACGAATCGTGCGGCATAAGGATCGCTTCTTAAAATTAAAACACGTTGGGGCGGCTGAGCAGCTCGAGAAAAGCTAGGACCACCCCGCGCCTTGTACGCGTGAAATTAGGGTAACCCCTGTAGACAAAGTGTGAGCGAATTCTGAAGATTCAAGATACTAGGCTACCTAAATGAAATGGTCAAATTCCAACATGGTCAACTTTGTTTCAAAGGTGAAATAGCGATCCGTTTTTGCACTCAAGACAAAGCACTACTCCTTCTTTGTCCAACTCAGGAATCCCGTTTCAGAAGACCTGCAAACTGTGGAATCAGAAGCCAACCAAAATCTCTGTTTTTTCCCATTTTTCGCTTTTGATCGCTGTGCTTTCACCAAATATTACTTAGAGCTAAGAAGACAAATCAGGCTTCAAACAGTCCTATGGAATCTACAAGGTTTAGGCTATCGATTCATATAAATACTGTCCGCTAAAAATGTTTTTTTGATATAGTTAATGGGGTGCGGCATACCCCCTTAAAAGCTGCGGCTGCCGCAGCTTTTAAGGGGGTGTGCCGCACCCCCTTGACTTGCCTTCAAAATCCAGGAAGCGCTCCATTGCTGGTATAAGTATTGAGCACATAGCTTCTTCTTGCTACATTGGAAATTTGGAGCCGAACGCCCCACCCATAAGAAAATTATGGCCCTTTCAATATGCCCATTCAGATCAAAATCAGCCGTCAAATTACGTGTGATTGTAAAGTGCAGTCACAGAAAATCGGGCGTACAGCTCTCAGAAATCTGAAAACTCTCTAGAAAAAGATGGTGTCCTCCAGAATGTCACACTTTGAGGTCCAGAGGTTAAGAGGAGGAAGAAGCGGTCGTTTGAGGGCTTTCATGGGAGGGGGGGGGGGGTTCGAAAGACTTGTGCCTGACCTCTTTCTCAACTCTGGTAATGCTATCTTAGGTATATAGTTGAGGGTGGGTCTTATTAAGACAGCAATCAGGGGGGGGGGATCGTAACCAGCGATCGTGTGCCACACCCCTTGCTTGACCCTGGATATGCAGCTCTTTGGCAGATGCCACCTCGACTTCTGACCATTCCCTAGTGAGAAACGGCTTTTTTTTTAAAGATAGGATGAAGGAGAATTAAGCATGTAAGATTTACGACATCAAATATATTCATCAATTCAAATATTGCGACAAGTACACCCCTTCTCAGTGTGCAACAACAATAACGAAAATTTATGTAACGAATTAATAACAAGTCATTAATAGGCCGGCGTGACCTCAACAGCATTGGCGGGGGAACAATGAGGATGACGTCCTTCTTCTCAAGTTTGTGTTCGGAGTTTGGCTCGGTTGGATTGACTTTCGGCATGGGTTCCAGGATTTGGACATGATCAGGAAGAGCGGTCTTCGGACCCATTGGGCCACGAGGATCATGAGGCAGCATAATCTTGACCTTGATACCAATCACTCCTGGAATCAAAATAAACATATTACTTTTTACATGCATGACTCAACAAAACGAAGTCAAAAGTGGAGTAGTGGATGGAAATAAATGTAGCCACTCACCCTGACGAAGTTGCACGTGTCGAACGGCTTGCTGAATGTATTCCGTGACTGGGTGTCCAGAATGGATCATAAGTCCATCGACGAATTTCGTGGCCTTAGCACGCTGACCGCGAAGCTTGCCAGAAATAATAACCTAAAAAGTATCCAAAATACATGCCATGTAAGAAGCAACGACACTGAATTGTTGGTGCAGCATGAAAGCGAAACAGTCACTGAGACAGTCCGGCGATTAGAACACCATTTTATTTCGCCAGCCGAGATTGGACTAAAAACTCTTCAGTTTCTGCCTTGCCCAGATACGGTGGCTTGTGCAAAGACTTACAAACAAGCGAACCTACCTCACAAACTTGTGCCTGAGACTCCATAATAAAGCGAAGCACTCCGTAGCAAGCACGGCGAACTGCCAAGCCACCGACCAATTTGTATCGGAGCGACTCGCACTGAGCCACTGCGCAGAGACCTCGGTTAGAGACTTTCTCCGCATAGAGCTGAAAAGGAGAGTGGATAAAATGCGGAAGAGTTCACAAAAAATTTGCGAAAATAGAAGCCAAAATGGGCATCGCTGAGGGGAAATTATAATCACTGCAAAAAGGCTTGTTTTCAAAGGTGTTCGGTTTTCCTAAGGGATCGTTCAGACCGCGCACAAAGGCGCACAAAGGAGCCAACAGTTCTTGAGAAGAACCAAACATGAACATTTTCCTCACGCTGTATTGTGGTGAACAGATAACCAAAAAGATTGCTAAGTATTGGCTTGGATTTAAGTCGTTTCCTAAGGCTACGATAGTGCGATCCAAGGAAGGCATGCAGAGCAGGACAGGAGAAAGCAAGTTGTGGTAAATGGTTGAGGTATTCTTACTCCATGATGCACGATTCACTTAAAATCTCAAAACGACTAATGGTGAGGACAAAGGTTGAAACTTATTCCAAATTCATCACACTACAGTAGACACAAGAAAAACTACAGCAAGTATAAATGTGTATGACATTCTGTCATCCACATTTACACTTTCCGTAAGGGATCGTTCAGACCGCGCACAAAGGCGCACAAAGGCGCACGAAGGCGCACGAAGGCGCACGAAGGCGCACAAAGGCGCACGAAGGCGCCGTAACTGCCAAAGCGCAGGGATTTGCCGGCAAAGTGCCATATTGGAATACGAATATGAGATACTAGCTGGCTTACCCGGCTCCGCCGTATCCGGACCAAACTTGGCACACATACACTTCGGGCCCCGGCGGGTGTCACAGTCCACTTTTCGTTATTGATCGATGTCGATTTTACCGATTTTTATCGATTTTTTTGCAGAGTTCACCTACAGGGCTAGGAGTTGGCACAGGGGGGAAGTGAGCATGGGCATTCCAAATACAATATTAGTTTTCAGAATTATCGATTACTTTTATTGATTTTATCGATTTTTTGTAAATTTTGACATGCGAGGCTGGGATTTTGCACAGGGGGTAATCGAGCATGCTGATTACGAACACAATATTAGTTTTCGAGATCGTCCATTACTTTTATCGATTTTATCGATTTTTTTTGTAAAGTTTGACCTGCGGGGCTGGGAGTTTGCACAGGGGGGTAATCGAGCATGCAGATTACGAATACAATATTAGTTTTCAAGATCGTCCATTACTTTTATCAATTTTATCGATTTTTTGAAAATTTGAGCTAGGGGGCTGGGAGTTGGCACAGGGGGGTAATCGAGCATGCTGATCACCCCCCTTGGGGATCCCCAAGGGGGGTGATCAGCATGCTCGATTACCCCCCTGTGCCAACTCCCAGCCCCCTAGCTCAAACTTTGCAAAAAAATCGATAAAATCGATAAAAGTAATCAATAATCCCGAAAACCAATATTGTATTCGGAATCCCCATGCTCGATTACCCCCCTGTGCGAACTCCCAGCCCCGTAGCTCAAACTTTGCAAAAAATCGATAAAATCGATAAAAGTAATCGACAATCCTGAAAACCAATATTGTATTCGGAATCCCCATGCTCGATTACCCCCCTGTGCCAACTCCCAGCCCCGAAGCTCAAACTTTGCAAAAAAATCGATAAAAATCGATAAAATCGATATCGATCGATGACGAAAAGTAGCCTATGGCACGCGCCGGGGCCCGAAGTGTATGTATGCCAAGTTTGGTCCGGATCGGTTCAGAAATGGAATTTTCTATTCGGAACATACGTACACACAGACAGACATACAGACAGACAGACAGACAGACAGACAGACAAACAGACAAACAGACATTCAGCTTTATATATAAGATAATATACGAATAAAATATAATATAAAATAAAATAATAATATTATAAAATATAATATACGAATATATACATGTAATTGTAACGTAAGAACAAAGAACAGGCGCAAAGTCGATTAATCCGCGCAGTCAAGGGGTACATGTCAAGAATAACGATAGCTTGCAATAGCGGCACCCTGAGTGGCCGGGTGTCAATAGACGGTGTACAAGTAGCATTTCCCTAGCAGCGGACGAGTTTACGCAGGCATCACATTTTGGAAGTAAATGCCCGAAGCGTTGTGCTTCTTTATATAAGCTTATGTCAAGACTTCTGCTATTTTTTAAGGATGGAAATAATCAGTAATCACATCGTCATAAATTCGCGATAGTAATGTTTTGTGCCAACTCAGCATGCGAATTATGTAAGCTTTAATGATTAACGTAGGAAACGAACTTTGATGAAAAGAACTGAAGTTTAGATCATTTTTCCGATTTCATAAATGAGTGAAGGCGGGTTGTTCTGCGCGCGCGAGCAGCTGGCAGCTAGCGGCTGGCAGAGCTATTGTTATTCTTGACCGCCACCCCAGACGTTTTTAAAAAGCGTCTACGGAAAAGTTGGTAAAATATATAGAATAGACAGTCATTGCACATTGATATCTTTATGGCAAAAAACAATTTATCTCCTGCTTATTCATTTTGTAATTGTTTAATTGAATAAAAAAGCTTGTATAGTTTTCTATTTGATCGCATGGTTCTCAATAAACAATGAAATTCCTGCTATTCAAAATAATATACAGGGCTTATCAATGAAGTGTCGCTTGCCTCAGCATCTCCACTCCCGCGCTGGACTCTGCATCTCTTCCGAACATGCTCTCTGAGTGCTCTCCCAGGGCGAGCGTGGAAAAGGCGGAGCCCTCGATTGGAAGTGATTAGGGAGCATCTTCCGCGGAACACGCAGAATTCAGCGCGGGAGTGGAGATGCTGGGACAAGCGACACTTCATTTGATAAATCCTGTAGTTATCGAGGATACATGCCAACCCCGAGGCTGATATCGCACTTCGCTTCTCGCCGCAATTTAGGCGACGAGCGTAATTCCGCAAAGTCGCTTGCACGAATCGCCCGGGTTGTTGTAGACTGAACGCACGCTAGCGTGCCTGCAACGCGGCGCCGAGTACGGGCGCTATGATGACTCATGCGCGCGAATGCCAATGTTAGCCCGCAAGAGACACGCACGCGGGTGCTCATTTCGGGCGATTCCGTGTAGTCAACTATACCATCTGCAGCGTCTTTGCTGGCAGCAGTCGGCTGCCCGGGTGCCACTTGCACGCCTCCCGGTAGCCGGTGACTCCCAGTCATTGGGAAAGCTTGCACCCATCCAGCAACCTCTTCGACAATAGCAAGATGGATCCTACATGCTTTATTTCCCAAAGTGTATTCATACATTTGCTTGATCATACACACTATGCATTGAAATACCCGAAACAGTCTTGGATAGCGAACTATCAAATTTATTCGATACTCAAGCATCTCGAACAACCAAATGACATATTCGGAAAAAGTCTTGTGAAATAAAGCTTGATTTCAAGAACAAAAAGCTGAAGAGCATGACTTCGTAACAATGACTCACTCTTGGGTTCAAGTTTCGAACATGGACTACCAGAGATGGGTCTGGATTGGTAGGTTCAGCGAGCTCTTCTCGCTTGACTCTTTTCATTGGCGGGATGCTGAAACGACTATCACGAGCTACAGCAGTTGAGAATACAATTAACTCGACGAGGAAAAGTCGTAAACTATCTACCTTGGTTCACTGCTGTCAGCACCATCCATATTCTAGCTAGACCTGAAATGGCTACAAAATGAACTTATTTATTGGAACACAGCAAAACTTCATACATGCGAGATACTGAGATAGCTAGAGAAACACAGATAGAAGGAACAGAAACAGAATAGAAAATAGAAACAGTTAGAGAAACGCATATATTGAGATAGCTTGAGAAACAATCTCCAAGCAGAGGAATACAAAGTTTTCCCAAGAACGTCGTCTACTGAGCGCGCAAACCTTGCTCGGGTAACACGAAAGTTTGGAGCTTATTATCTAGCTACATTGAATTTTTTATGCAAAGCCAAGTGCTAGAATGCTGCAGCTTTTCTCTATAGGACATTCCAAAGATAGCTTGAGATGTATTTACTCCAAGCAGAGAAATACAAAGTTACCGACGAAAATCGTCTGCTGAGCCCACAAACCTTTGTAATACGAAAATTTGGAGCTTATTATCTAGTTACATTACTCTATTTTTCGTGCAAAGCCAAGTGGTAGAAAGCTGCAGCTTTTCTCTATAGGACCTTCCAAAGATAGCTTCGAAAATGTATTTTCTCCAAGCAGTGAAATACAAAGTTTTCCCATAAAAGTCGTCAACTAAGCGTGTCTGTCTGTGTAAAACGCCGAGGTCAATTATCTAGAATTTTACGAAAAATCGGTGGCAACCGGGTGTTCAAAAATGCGCCTCCTTTTTATTAGTTAATAACTCTCTTCTTATAAAGTTTTAGAGGGTTTAGATACCATTTGTAAAGCTGGCTTAAGCTTATTTGCAGTATCAAGCGAATCACCGATCGCTCTTCATTACTGTAGGATCACATAAAAACTTCCGGCATATGGTGTCAGTGTGAGCAACCCTTACAGATAATTTAGAGAAATGTAAAATTTGTGTGGTAGGTTTCATGGTACACTATACGAAAATGATATTTTTATGGATGCTGAGTCTGGAATTGTACAAGATTCTGAGGCTTTCTTACTGTGTGAGCACATTTTTTAGGACCATCGAAATAGCAGCTGCCACTACTTTCCCTGACAAAGAATTTCAATAATTCATGAATATTTAGAACCAGCAACTCTAATTTGCCTAGCGTGAGAGTTCAGGTACTCTCTTTATTCTCTGAAACATGGTCCTCCACGGCTTAAAACGGTCTTTGATATTCCTACAGCAATGACGAACGATCGGTGCTTCGCCCTTAAATGTAAATAAAGCTAAAGCCAACTCTACAAAATGGTATCTGCAGCTTTTCTAAAGACTTCATGTCTATAGGGCTATCAACAATCAAACATAGGGAAATTTTTCTGGAACACATTATATACGAAAGGGCACGGTATGTTCTTTTGCAACTGTAACGAAACTGACCACACAGCTCTTCATACACTTGGGAAAAGATAAATATTATCCAAAGAGCGCTGTAGGTACCGGTCTTCCCATAATGTATTGATTACTGAAAATCCTAGATTGGGGCACCCTCAAAAGTAAATATTTGGCAGGGGGCAGGAAAGTGGAGTTTTCACAAGTTGAGAGGCCATATCACACAGTGGCTATTTTGCAAGAATTCACGTGTTCACACATCTGGGCATAGGAGGTTGCTGTAGATAGAAACAATACACAAATAGTTACAACAGATATTACAATACATACATCATCGCTCTGGGACTGCCCATGACTTGTAAATTTTGACGCAAATTTCAAGTTTTATGCCTTCAAAGGATGTTTTTAGAGAATTACTCTTTCTGCACTTTCAAGAGAGATTGAAACCAGCTGATTTCCATCGAAAAGGTTCTCCTAACTGTTGATACGGAGGTGGGGTGCAGCTTGGTAGGTGCTCGTTTACAAAATTATAACTGACTCAAGCATATGCGGCGGAACTACGTAAATTGAAAATAAGACAGCGCCCATAACATCATAAATTTTACAACCTTGAATTTCAAAATTGTAAATGTTCGAATCAGCTGGATATTCATTGCTTTCCACGCTAGATTGCTCTCTATTTTCGAAAAGCTGAGAAAGACAGGGTTTTATCTGATCAAAATGTTCCCACAAATTTCCGTCCGACACTTCCTAATGTGCGCCATGGGATCGCTAAGGCTGAGTGTCTAAGCGTACTGTTTCTACTATGTTTAACAATGCGCTGGTTATAGATAAACAACCTTTGCTGACGTATCCGGATACACAACGGCATAAGGTAATTTTAGAAAATTCAAGAGAAGCTTTAACCGTGGAATTTTTGAAGCGGGCGCAAGAAATGTCAAAAAATCCAGTAGAGCTGATAGATTTATGATATGACCTATCCGCTCTGAGATTAGTGCTGATCTCCATGAAGAGTTGCGACCTTACTTTTTGGTTTCAGACGATTCCTCGCTTTTTCTGCTTAGCATTAAATCTTAACATCGACCGACAAACGGCTCAGGAAACATACGATTCCTTTTTCGTTCAGATAGCTAATTTCCTTTCTAATAGTTGAAGGAAAAATGCAGTTCCCTGATCCCATCGAGGTAGAAAAGATATAAAAACGCAGAAAAACAATATTTGAGAGAGCAATGCAAGCTCTACAAAATGCTTTAATCTAAGGCAAAACGTTTGAACGCACAAAAGAAAAATCTTAACGAATTTTGGACACTCAAAAAATTTTGTCCAAAAAAATTACTCAAATTCCCAATTTGCCAAAGAAAATTGCTTATTCTATCAGCTATTCATCTGTACACTGCTGTATTTTTCTCATGGCTATTGACAAAAACGAAAATCGGCATACTCTAGCAAAAGCAATGCTGGACTGTTCTAACATAAGTAATTCACAAATCATTAGAAGTATAACAATTTCCAAGCATTTCCGAGCACTGCAATATCGCTCACATAAAAAAAAAGACGCGAATGTCTCATCATGTATGAACATCGCCGTCGCGTGGCCATATCTCGCTTCAGAGTGGATGAATTCTGCATCTAAAGCCACCAATCGACTCACCCGGCGCAGCCCATCTCCTAATGTATAGAAGTGTCCACTTGAACACAGTAGGAGGTCAGATTCCACGAATCGTTTCTGATCTTTGCTTACGGTAGGTTGCCCAGTGGGTGCAATGAATAAGCATACGGGGCAACCTACCGTAAGCAAAGATCTGAAACGATTCGTGGAATCGACCTCCTACTGTGTCCAAGTGTCCATCTATACATCAGAAGATGCGCTGCGCCGAGTGAGTTGAATGGTGGCTTTAGATGCAGAATTTGTCCACTCTGAAGGGAGATATGGCCACGCGACGGTGATGTTCATACATGATGCGACATTCGCGTCTTTTTTTTTTCAAAAAATGTGAGCGGTGTAGTAGTTGAGCAAAAAAATAACACTTGACGTGAAAAACTCGGAAAAGGCAACATTTTCGTTCTCTTGACCAGTTTTTAATTTTTCAGCTGATTGGTTAGAGCTATACTCAAAAATGCGATCAGGTCAAACTAGGTAAAGGCTGCTGCATGACGAAGGCGCAGAAGCAGTATTAGTTGAAAATTATCCATGTTTGGCTGTCTATTAATCTTGGCAAGATAGTTATATTTCACTGATCTTCTTTTTTCAGCTATTCAGTATTAGTTGAACGGTCGCGAACGCGGCGCGCGCGTATCTTCACCGCTGTATATCCTCCGCCTTGTGCGCTCTGTGGCTAATAAAACTGCGTTCGCGCCTGAGATATTGCGTCTTCGTCATGCAGCAGCCTACACGTTTTTCATATTCAAGATAGTTAGTAGTCATATTAGATCACAATAAATAAAACTGGCCAAGGTTTTGAATTTTTGAATAAATAATAGATACGTTCAGTCTCTGATTCTTGTAAATCTTTAAATATCTATTCAAGACTTCAGTTATTTGGGAAAGACTGTCTCTTAAAATAGTTAGCGTATTTTAAACTCATGTTCTTTGAACAGCCGCGCAGACTTTGCTTATTTAGTTCATGTGCTAATCAGAGCATCCTTTAATTTCAAAAAAGCATCCTATTCTATAACATCGTGTGTCGCACGATTATCGCATGAGTTCGATTGTTGATAGCACAATTTCTTTGAAAAAATTCTGATGAGTGCAGATAGATCAAGATAATAGCAAGGGATAACGTGCAACTCTGAGCTTTGCTTCACCTGCGCAACTGCTCTTCTACAAATACTCAAAACAAATACGTTGAGTAAGAGCACTGACCATATCCAAAAACAATAACTTCCTTACTTGAATCAAAAAATTGCATACTTTCCTCAGACAAAAATGTTAAGGGTACGACAGAGTTAGTCCTAAGGATGCCTTCATACCGTGCCGACTGCCGATTTGCGCGCTGTTCTCTTATCGGACCCCAATATCGAAACCACGAATCTTGCTCAAACTTCGTTCAGCGGGGTTATTCAACGTTTTGATTACAATTACCATGATATTTTGATTTGGAAATGTCTTGGAATACTGGGATAGTGCGCAAAAGCGGTTACTGGCGGCTGCCGGCGTGGTATGAAGGTACCCTAACTTGTTTGCTAGCGCAGATTGAAACATTTATGATCAACACAGGATTTAGCATAATTATATTCAAAAAACAACAGCATCCTATCAGGCCGTCCCATAGTTCCGTCCGTTTTGGGATTCAACCGCAATAAGTCATACATTTCTCATTTCAAAATGGATTACAAAACATCATTTGATAGAGCAAAGCACTCTACAAAAAAGCAATCTTGCTTTTACGCCAACTCTGACCCGCCTCGAGATTGAAGTCGGAAAAGGATTCAACTGCACGTAAAATCAAGAAAAAATCGTTACTCCATCTAAGAAGATTTCCTACAAAAATTCTAACTTGCTCACGTACACCCTATCCATGTACATTCATATATGCCCTTGCGTGTACACATTTCCTATTTCTTCCTCGCTTAGAATAAGAAAACGAAGATATTCATCTTTTTTTTTTCAAATTGATGCTTGCTGATTACAAGTGTATACCTTAAACCTGTAGAAACTGAATATAGATTTTCAGCTTTTTACAACCTTTAGTTCTTTAG